ACCCGTTTTCTTACCCTAGACTTCAGATCTGCCTGGCACTGAAGAGAATTCTGCCAGTCTTGATGCAGCCTCCAGCGTTCGAAATCTGTACTCAGGTGACATGGGACCAGCGATGGATCCCATGGACAATCGAAGCAGCCCAACGCCATCGATCACAAGGTACCGTCATCCTTTTGTCACAAATTGGGTCACATCTTCTCATTACATGTAAGACATAAGTGTATACATGATGTTTGCTGTCACGTTTTTGAGTGAGTCATGCAGCTTTTGTGATTGTAAAGCACCGTTCTCCATCACATCCGTTGGCAACTGAATGCTTATGCATCTCATTTTGTGACGTGCAGCAGTACCAGTGATCTGGACAGCATTGCCACCTCGCCGGTCGCCATGACGACCACCCACTCCTCCTCCTTCCTCTACATCCCCGTGGACGAAGTGGAGGAGGCCTGGCGGGTGCACGTGGACAATGTCATGCGAGACCCGAGCGGTCGCTGCGCCGTCAACACGTTCCACGTCTTCACGCAGCTCTACAAGGTCATGCAGCAGCGATTCTGCAACCTGACCAGGGAGGCCTGCAACTATCTGGGGGACAAGCTACGAGATATAGCCCTCCAATTCCATATCCTTTGGCAGTCGCAGTTGGTAATCTGCAGGCTACTTAGGTGTACAAACTCTTTGTGCTACCTCGTCACAACCTCGGGGACATCTTGGCAATGAAGGCACCTTTCGCTGTCCTTTTTTCTAAGTATGCTTTGGCGACGTGTCGTTGATATTCTAGAGTAGTTTGATGACGTCATCACAAAATATACAGAATTTCATTTCCTTTATTATTGGAATGTTCTCTCAAGTTTGAGAGGGATTTTCACACAATTTTCATCAATTATTGTCACCATGCATTGGCCCCAAAATCTCAAAATTGGAAGAAATTATTTTTATCTGGTGGTACACTTCAGCCAAGTTCTGGTTGGGTTCGATGCACCATTTCGCATGACAGTGTGAAGATGTTTAAATGTCAACTTTCAGTACACACAGTGCTCTAAACTGGACCACATGAGTGCAGCGTGGTTCTTGTGTGGTTCAAAGTAGAACCAGTTCTTTCAACTGGACTGTTTGTTCTGTTCATCAGACCACTTGGATGCACCAATCACTTTCTAAGGATCGGCCTTGATGTGGTGCTCTGTAGGGGATCAGTCCTGGGACCTTGTCTCTTCCTTAACACTTCTCACTCAGTACCCTAGATCTGCTGACTACTCATGCCGAGTGCCCCTACGTCTACATTGACACCGAAACCCTGGTGGCCTGCAGACTGCTGGAGAGACACAAGTATTGCGTGATTGAGCTCCACGAACACTATGACACTTACATATCCAAGAGAGATCTGACAGTTGAGGTGAGTCAATTTATGATGGCTTAGTCTTGTTGACTGTGTATTTCTATACAGGGATTGCTCTTCATTGTTTTTCAATGGTTCCACGTCTTGTAAAAAGAATGGTCACCAAGTACCAAGTGCAAGGGATCTATTGCTTGCTTAATAGAGCAGGTTCAAAGCCTGGATGCTGGGACCACCCAGTTGACTATTTTGGAACCAGGCCCTGGGGCATGGTCGCATCGCTGGTTATCAATGGCCTTTTTCGTAACTAAGTACAGAGGAACTTAGATCTGATCAGAGAATTAGATGATTAGTTCAACCGGCTGGCACTTGGCAAGGACTTTAATTTGGAATGACAACCAATGGCAAAGCGCGAGTGACAATGACATTTTGCAACAATGGTTCGACCAGAGTCATTCAAGTGAGATGATAATGCATATGTGCATCAGCATTAGGCCGTTGACCAGTAGTTGGTGCCTGTGGCGCCTGTAAGAAACTTAATCTGGGGGAGGCAAATCCGTGACCATCAGCTCACAAGTGCAGACACCTGAACCACTCAGTCTTATTTTGTAAAGGTCAGTGTCTGCTGTTCGAGGGATTGATGTTTGAATCCTGGCTGAATCTTTCCCAGAGGCAACATTTATTAACCCCTTCGCTACGATGACTGCTACTACAGCACCTTTGTGTGAGGATTAGTGCATACCACACATACAGTCTATTCACCATGCAGCTGCTGGTTCAATGGGGCCTGCTGCTGGACCAAGCCCTCCATTCATGGCATGCCACAGCCCAGCAGTCGTGGTCAAAATAATCCGGCCGTGAAGGGCTTAGATACCTACAGTTAATACATTTATTTCTCTTGTTTCTTTGTGTAAATGTGTTCTGTTTTCGTGAGGGTTTTTTAAAGAATTTTGTGGGTTTTCTTGGGTGGGATTTTAACCCTTGACCTTCTGGTTACTAGTGCGGATGGTCTGAATGGCTTAGTTCTCTTCTTCCACATCTTCTACAAGTTTGTAAAGACTCTTTGGAATTTTCCAGTTGAAGTAAAGGAACGTTTACCATTAGGGTTTGAATCGCTGATTTGTAAATCCAATCTTTTGAGTAAAGTTGTCTCATGGTTACTGTCTTGCTGTCCTTGGGCACATGTCAAGCCGTAGTTTTAAGTGAGAGACTTCAGAAGCCACTGAAGCTTATCCACCAGTGTACTGTAACACCTTTCTTTTCCTCTTCCAGTGTTTGGACTCTATCAAGGCCTCACTGAAAATGCAAAGTCTAGGAGCACAGGTAAGAACGTATTCCTGGTGATGAGCTCACAGATCTGTTATTGTTATTGCTCTCTTTGCCCCCCAGAAAGGTCCTCCGTAAAAGTGTCGACATCATTAGAAGGAGTGAGTTTAAAAGGCTGGAAAGGAATGTTCACTTTCAGGTCCACATTGCAGAGCTGCCAACCAGTAGGATTTTATTGTATTTTGTACAATTTTTCAGTGACAATACGACAGTATGATTTTGCTCAATAAAATACGATTTACAAAAATAAATAAGCTTTGTAGTTATTTTAGATTTTTATCTATTGTTTGGCTTGAAAATTGACATTTCTCACGAGTTAAATTCGGGCGGTAATATCAGTCATCGGCGATGTCGGAAATGCCATGCTGCTTCATTTGTGCCGTTCGTCTGTGCACTATACCTTAACTATCGATGTATAATCAATATCAGTCTGGGGCCTAGACTATGCATCACGCTCGTTCAATCGTTTGCATACGAATCAAGTTTCAAATTATGCAGCAGTGAAGAATAGGATTTTTTCCACAAAATAGAATTTTTAAGGTAAAATCATAGGAATTTTGGTCAAGTGAGGTTGGCAGCTCTGACATCGAGATGTTCCACCTTGGTTCTCAGGCTACTGAAAGCATGTATCACTTCACACATGAAGCTTTTAGACAGCTGTAAAACCCTATTTCTAAAGCATTAACCTTCCTGAGTCCCCCAATTCCCCACTGTGCCATAAACTAGCATCAAGCCCCGTACAAGTTAAGCCCTGATGTACGAAACCAAGCACAATGACTGGGTTCTAGCTTCCTCAATCCTGCCAAATTCTCCAATCTTCCTAGTGAACTGTGGAAGGACTTCGAGGCTCAGGCTTAAATAATTACTATAAGCCCTATCTTTGGTTAGATTTCCTGGACTCCTCAGAAAGCTCAAGTAGGAACTGTTTTGCCTTTCTGTTTTTAGGACATGTCTGGACCAACTGGAGATGAACAGGTAGGGACCACCCTTCGTTTGGAAACATGCTTAATGATTTGTTCAATTGTGTCACACTAAACTTTCAATGCTTACCTTTGCTGATTTTATTCTCAGCCCACTTCTTTTTGAGGGCAATATTAAATCAGATTTCCTGTTTTTCTTGTTTTGAGGTGCATGATTTATGTCAGAGCTAACATGTGAAAACATTTTCATCTAAAAACAGATTCCTGACAGGTTGCAGTAGTCCTCAATGAATTGAATTAATGCATTTCCTAAGAAGTTAGTAACAGTAGTGTGCATTTGAACAATGTCGATTTTGATATTAGTGTTTTGAGATATGATCAAAGCTCAGATCTTTTGACAGTTTCTTTGGAAACGCCAAGCACGAGCTTTGCCCAATGTGACTTGTTCCCCATGTCCTCCCGCTAACTGAACAGCAGTCTTATCACTTGCCCACAAAGCTCGCGTGTCAGAAATAAAATAAGATTAAAAAAGAAAATAAGGGGAGGCCATCTGTGTGCATCTAGAGCTTGGTCCAGGTCTGGCACCCAGCTTCAAATGTATCAGTGTGTTGTAGTCAAGACCATCATGAGACCTTACAAGACCAACACAAGACCTCTGATCTGATTTCAAGTCACAGGCTTTTGAAACGACCAGGAAGAAAAGCATCCCTAGTCACTGTTCAAACTGTTACTTGCAATTGGTCTTGCGAATGGTCATGGGCCATTCTGTAAATTCAGGGTCCAAAAGTGGCAATTTTTGGTGTCCCTTTTATACATCAACCTGTGGAAGTTGATGTGGAAATATCATTGAAGTTGACTTTAAACTGCATTAAATTATTGGGCAGGTATTTTGCATTCCTCAATCACTCTTAGAAATTGAAAACTTTATTCTAAACTTGAGGGATCAGTGGTCAGATGTGACACGGACATTAAACAAATTTGACCCCAAACTTTTTACCGAATGACCCTCTTGCATCTGATCTTGAGATTGTCTTGACTGCGTGTACATGTACAAAAATCATGGGAAAATGCTGACAGTAGACATAGCCATAATGTAGAAGCCCAGTAAAGACACAACGTCTTAAATGTTACTGTGGATGTGGGATTTGGTGGATTAACATGCCCTACTAAAACATTGCATTGAGTTTTATGTAACTCGATACGTAGCATGAGTTGTACTAACCGAGTAACATTTTATCCTGATCCACTGACACTCACTATTCACTGGGGCAGGAAATGACTCATATTAACAACGTAAGTACCAAGATCTGTCTCTCCTCTCAATGTTTCATAGCCCATCCCCATTCCATGCTTCTTGAAGCGTTTGGCTTCTCCTGCGTTGTAACCTTCTCTCTTCTTACGCTCGTTTATTTTTTCATTGACCAGTGTTGGACCTCCTGGAATACTTTTGTAGCAAATTTTAGACAAACAGAAGAAGTCATAGGAGGTACTTTTCAAAAGGAAACGTGCAGTGTACAGCCAAGGGTTGGTTTTGAAGTTTTGCGTTTTTCAGAAGAAGTGATTTAGGGTAAAAATGGATGCAGTCAGCTCTTTTGTGCAGCAAAGTAGTTTCCCTTAAGAGCAAATCTCTGACCCGATCTAATGAGATGAGATGTAAGTTGTAAGAGTCACTTTTGTAAATCAGTAGGAACTTTCAACATATTTATATCCATGGAAAGTTCTTTTTCCTCAGGAAAGCCAAACCGAGTGATACTTCCAATCAAAGAGTTTGTTTGGATCTGTCTATAATTGTAAAGTAGAAATAATAGTGGCTGTAAGGCTCATGTTATGGGATCTTGGTCACATTTGCCGGCGTTTGTTGCAAAGTCACATCCTGAAACCATGGTTCAGCCAGATGTTTGACTTTCAAAGTGTCCCATAGAGAGATAAGTGTTCTCTGTGTAGAAGTACTCCCCCCACACCCCCGGCAGACTGGGCCAACTCGTGACCACCAATTCCATGCCACCTGATGCCTGGCACCCGCGGAAATGTACATGACATTGTCCCCACATCGAGATTGGCCATTAACATTCTGCAAACCAGTTCACACGCATTGTGCTAACAAGGCATCATTGCAAAGCGCCCACTCTTCAATCAGGTTTGGAGTCCATCTTGCTAACATTGGCACTCAACCACTCATTTCCATTTAATCAGCAAGTGGCCCCATGGCTTTACAGTAAGTACTAAGTACCGGTAGTATAAATGCTGTTCATGGGTCTCATAGTTAATACTTAGAAAGAAAGAGTCATAGTACCCAAAGACAAAAGAATTGCTTATTTAGATAGTGGCAGGCAAATGATGATTGCTAGGTTCCATTGGGTGCACAAGCAATTTATCTTTGGATTACAGAAGATATGAACACAAGTTGCATATATATAGTCATTTGCAAAAGTTTAGGACCTCCCATACAAAAATGCATTAACCTGAAGAAAACCAAACTTAAACCAATCAATTATGGCTTGTGTTTATTTTCAATGTGCAACCTTAGCATCTCAGTTTAACAGCTATTTGACTACATTTCCATGGTTTGAAATGTTAACAATCTAATATTTATTGTGCCCTCCTTTATTTCTGATTACTTACACTGGCTTTTTTTAACCCATGCTGCCTTACAGACAAAATGTCATACAAGACCTGCCTTTGCAAACAATTTCATTCAAATGGGTATATAGCACTACACTGATGTTATGCACCACTGTAAAAACATGTTAAGTAATCATTCAATGAGACAATGTAATGCAGGCCCAGTGACAGAAATACCAATAAAATTCCGGGTGGTCTTAAACTTTTGCAAATGACTGTAGATTGACCCACACAAAGTATAACCCCTTACATTCATTCTCTTATATAGCATGCTTCCCATTCCAATGTTTAGTGCCCATCCAATCAGATCAGTATTGTAACCTTTGTGCTATTGAATTCATTGACCTATTTGACTCTGTTGGTAGTTTGCAGCTTCTATCTTATCGTCTACCCAGTATCATTTTGCTTTCCTTGCTGCCGTCTAATACTTGATATCCTTTATCTCATATCACACTGTGGAACCTCTGGATGAGATTTCTTTACTTAAAGTGCAATAAGCGATTAGGAAGAGTATGGACACCTAATTTAATCAGATTTGCAGGGTCTCTTTTCCCAAATCCTAAACTACAGTCAGATTCAAATTTTCGTGTCTCTATACATGCACTTATTGGAATTGATTGGGTTTGAAGGGGATGGTTTTAGCATGTTTTTTTCATTTTTTTTTTTTTTAAATTCCGACAAATGTTGATACAAATTGTATCCTCTTCGCACCTGTCTTCATTTGAAATGGCTAATCTCATCCATTTGATTTCACAGTGTCAGCATGACTGCATTGTAGCCCTTTTTTATTTTGGAAGTTCTTTTGCTTAGATTTTCAGAAAGGGTCATTTATTACATGTCTGGGGTTTTGTTTGGTTATTAGGAGGTTGAAGTTACAAGTGTTATTGTGGTTCATTGTAGTTTGCTTGTGTAGCATTGCAAGGAAAAACTTCAAGCATGTGCTGCTCTTGAGTTTAATGTAATGAATGAGTTTTTTGTGACTTTTATAACATGTTATGTTGTGATGTACCGAGTTATTCAAAATCAAGACACTGGTGTAGATTTCGAGATTGGAATGGGAGAATGGTTTCATGTAAAGTAGCCAATATTCAGGGTCTTCTTGTCTGGAGAAGGCTTAGAATTGGTGACGTCATTTGATAGTATTTGTTTTGGGTGAGAATACATGTACGTAGGTCTATGGGCCCTGATAAACCCCAAGGTAGAAATTCACTGCAATATAAACCTGCCCATTTCTTGTCAAATTTGCAAACATGGCTTTGTTACAAGGAACCGTCAGACAGGACCTTCAGATAGAATTTCAGACTATTCATGGTGAAGGACAGCAACAGGTGAAAGGCTTGCAGTAGCACCTTGCAAAGGAATCTATCTCGCTTATGAGTATGTGGGGTTCTGAAAAGAACGGGGTGTATACTCAACGTTTCGGACTGCGTACTCAGTCCGTCGTCAGGAGACTGAAGAGATGCTGAAGATAGGCTGTATATAGAAGGTGGCTGGATGTAGCATGGTGTGACGAGGATGCTGGGGTGGGCGCTCATGCGGGACAGGGTCTTGCAGGTTAGTGAGGCGTGTCAGTTGGGCATAGGTAGGTGCGGGGTGAGGGCTGAAGGTATAGGAGACCCATAGGCAGGGTGAGGGTGTCCTAGGGTATAGAGCACCTATTGGACTGGGAGATGAGCAGGGGTTGCCAGATGTCACTGATCGAGAAACCGATGTCCTGGGGAACGGTGTCGTGCTTGAGGATCTCCAAGGCTTCTCTGATGCGTCTTGAGTACCAGTTGAGTATACTCCCGTTTTTTTTCAGAACCACACATACTCATAAGCGAGATAGATTCCTTTGCATGGTGCTACCGCAGGCCTTTCCACCTGTAGACAGGACCTTAGTGTAAACTTAGGGAGAGGGATAAAGCAGGTTGAGATGGCGACCCCAAGCTGATGATTTGCCACCAGTACTTTTTTCATGATGATGTAAATCGGCCAGATTCTGCCTTGTCTCAAGTAACATGCAGTAAATCCTCCAACCGTTCATTTGTGGTGGATTGCCCATATGAAAGTTTGCTGAATAGATTGTGACTAGATATTCACCTGTAGTTGTTTTTGCAACTGAGACATTTGCTTCCAAATCCGCTACACACTCATGTCCCATCGTGCTGTATGCCACTGCCCATCATACTACATGTAATTGTAGTTTTTTTTATACATGAAAAAAAGAAGTAACTAGTATGAATCCGTAATATATGTGTTCCATGTCAGTGTTGTGTTTGAATACTTTTAGTACCAACTTCATTGAAACACAAAGTTACATTTAGCCAGCAATGGACGTTAAATGATTTAGCATCAGATTTCATAATACGTTACATGTAAATGTAATTTCGTATATGGTGCCAAAATTAAGTGTAATGTACTTGAACTTACTTTGCATAGTTTCCCAAGAGGTTCATTGTTGTAAAAGAAAGATAAATGGAAGCCTTGGATATTATTATTGAGTTTTGACTCAAACAATTTATTTTTCAGTACGCAGAGCATGGTCATTTACATATTTGCTTTTTCTTCGTCAGTGATGATTTCCCATTTTCAATTTGATAACCTAGGCAGTCCATAAGTACTGGCTTGTTATTATTTAAAAGTCAAATGTTGTTTGTTTTTTGGGGATCTCTGGCAGCAAATTGAGTTGTGTCGTCGCCTGTACCGTCTGTACTTCCAGTTACGCATGCTGTTTGACAGCTATTGTAAGCTGATACAGACCCTAAACGCCGCTCGCCAAGCGTTGCAGGTAAGTGCCGTGGAACCGTTCACAGACAGACGTCTTGTTTGTAATTGTGGGGCCAGACCCCTACAGAATTTGCCGTTATGGGGACATCTGCTGATTCTAACCCACCATCTGAATCTTGCTGATATGTGGAGAAAGCTTCGTCCTTATATTATCAGTGAAAGTGACTAGAGAAATCCAAGTTCCAATGAAGAGTCTTTTTGTCCAGAACCGCCAAAGCTGCTTTAACACGTTAATTTGAATCACAGAAAGAGCTTCGTAGAGATCCAGTAATTTCAAACCAAAGTAAGCTTCCTAAAGCTGGTTTGGTTCTAAATTTCTCCTGTCTGATGATACCCTAAAGTAGCAAACATTCAACCATTTCATTCTGGTTTTCAGCATTTCACAATTTACATTTGTTTCACTTTGTTAGAAGTGTTTAATACAAATAAAATTCCTCATGAATCATGTTGTGTCATATAAACTGACCAATGTGAATATACCCTCAGTTTGTGTTCATTTCAGTCCAGATTTTTTTTTTCTAACGACTTCTAAAAATGAGCATTTCTTTTCTCTTTTCATCAGTACTTTAAAGGTATTTCCTGCCTTTCGATCCCGAGCATCTTCTGTGCTTCTGAGATGCCATTGATGTTACAGCCAGAAAGAATGTTTACAAGTTGACAATGTCCTGGCACTTTTCTCATTGCGTAGGTGACAGATTACTCCCAAGACGTGTCAGCGGCCAAGGAGGAGCTAATCCAGGCCTCGGAGGAGCTGGAGAGCGGTCAGGCCTCCCTGTCTCCCGAGGTGGACACCTCCAGGATGACGCCAGAGACTGCCCTGAGAACACTGGCCGAGCACCTGGGCAACAGACAGCTCCGCTTGGCCCTGAGGCTGCTACACGTCTACAGGTGAAGTGTCTGATTCGCAAGACACTTATTATATCATTATAAAGCTTATCTGGTAATGAAACCGGGGATTCCTCAAAAGTGCCATAGGGGCTGTAGGTCGTGAGCCTGAAGAAACCTGAAGGGGGAGATAGATTGAGAAGCAGCTACGTTTTTGTAATGGAAGGAAAATCCCAGACAAATATTCTGAGTAAAACCAATTTAATCCACCAGCATGAGTATCCAATTCCTGTATTCTCAACTTGCAATCAAATCCCTCAGTCAACTGTTTTATTAGAAACAGCCCACTCTACTTGTAGGCCATAACATGGGTATCTCCAGTACCAAACTGTACGCTCCTGAAGCATGTCATGCACACGTATTCACATCCCAGAGTTCTGTTTGACATTGAGTTGCACAGTCCCACTGTTCTTGGTCAAAACCACCTGGACAAGGCTGATTGAGTCCTAATCAAATAAAAACAAGGGTTATTGCAAAGATGGATTGCAGACCAATATCAAGGGCAAAAATGACAAAAAATACGTCTTGATAGAAAAGTTCCACGCCTTGCAGAAAGCAGTGAGAGAGCATGTTGAAAGAAGCACACATCGTTTGATGTTTTCAATGTTGACCTCTTTTTCGTTTCTACTAAAGTAGACCTTTGATGCTCAGCAAATGAATTCCATAAAATTTGCTTTGCTATGAGAGTTTTGATAAACATTTTTACCATAGTACTTATAGGTTTCCGGTAACATGATCACATTCTTCAAATGATGGATTGTAAGCAGTGTTGTAGTCCAGACCAGCACGAGATCAGAAACAAGACCAGTCACAAGTAACAGGGTGAACAGTGAAAGAGGAATTCTTATGTTGCAGCTCATTTGAATTGCATGTGGCTTGAATTCAGACCGGAGGTTTTGTGATGCTCTTGAGGGGTCTCATGATGATGACTGCAACACTGATCGTCAGCGAGTAGTCAGCCAAAGTGTCACTTATTTGTGGATGAATTTTCTGTTTCTCCATCTTCCGTGAGCAGGTCCATGTGGTCTGGTGACCTGTTTGGCTCCAGTGAGGAAGATGACTTGGATGTCCTGCTGGCGTTATTCTGCAAACACCTGTCTGAGGGGAAAACAGGTAAATTTGGGTCGCCGTGTCTACATGCCATATCTTGACACCACCAACTGACATACTCTGAATATTTTCAGAGCTTATTAATATACGTTGGGTAAGGGCAAACCCGTTATATATGCTCTGAATAATTACAGATGAAGACAGTTGGGCTGTGGTTTTACTAACATCAAAACATCACCTTTGCCAACAAAAGCACTTATATTGGATTCATGCCCTAAATGACGAGATGCTTTTAATCCTGAATGGTGAGATGTTTTTAATCCGAAGTAAAATAACTTAAAAGCCTCAAGGTGGTTTGAGAGTGTCTTATTAAGAGAATGAGTATGTGCTTGGCTGGTTTTAAACGTGCATTTAAGACCAGCTCAGGAGAGTGGACGCGACTATCTCCTTAAATGGACTTGGCACCTGTGTGGCACATCGCCCGCACGCAGACTCTTGACCAATCAGACTTGATTAAACTGTCTCGCATCCAGGTGCCAGCCGTGATTTACGCAGCGGGCATTATCAAATACTTATACACGGTCAAGTTGCGCGTTGTTGAATAGGGAGACTGTCTGAGGTATTTATGAATGATGTATTGAGCTGGATGTAGAGTCGGACTGAGGATTAAACAGGTTCAAGAACTATTTCATACATGTAGCTTTGGTCTCAACATTATAAAATTCTAGGGTTTTATCTCAACTGGTAACTTTTATAACATTAATAGGCTTGTGCGACAAAAAAAAACACAAATGATTTATGAAAACCAAACCGTTCAGTGAATACTGAAAAACTTCTGCATTGTATTGAGGAAAGCAGATGGTTCATTTTTGAGTCATAGAGGAACCTTGGACATTTCCTTCTACTGCAACCCATTGTGTCAAGCCAGCAGCTCATTCTGTGCATGTTTTATCAAATTGGAACAATCGACCTTATGTGAGCTGACAGTGGCCAGACCCTGTAGCTCTTCATCCTATATAAAACCATGAAAAGACCAGATGTTGGATTATATGGGGATGTGGAGCTGTTTCAAGATCACACCATGTTATGTGGTTCTTAGGAGAACTGTTTTCTGAAAGTCTGGCACGTCTTATCCACAACTGCCTTTTCCACTGAATTACAGTTCTCCTTCCTTCCCTTTAATTTTTTTATAGGCGTGTTGGTTGTGACCCGAACCAACACTGACCTAGAAGAAGCCTGTCAGCGGCTGATGGACACCAACATGCAGCTCATGGCCTCACTGCGCAAGGCTGAGGCTATGGAAACCAAGGAAGTTGTGGCCTCTCCAATTTTTGAGATCAAGAAGGTGGCCATTGCTGAGGTGCAGGACCCGAAGCCTGCCCAGGAGGAAGAGAAGGGCTCCAACGAAGTCCCAGAGATCAAGAAAGATGACTCGGACGAGAAGGCAGTGCAATCAGACCTGGGTGCCGCTGCTAGTGAGATCAGCCAAGACCCTGCCACCTTGGAGGTTATCCAGGAGGCCCTCAAAGAAGGACCTGGTGGGGACTCGGAGGACTCGGTGAGATCTAGTTGGGATGGGGATCCGTCAGAAGTAGTCGTAATACCTGCGGTGCTTGATGCGGATGACATGTCAGTAGCAAGCGGTGGAACGCAGCTTGGAAGAAGAACGTCCGCTGGAAGTCTGAGAATCAGCTCCACCGATGACCCGCTGATGCTGGATGGCATTGGAGCTGGGGTGACAGCTATGACAAGATCGAAATCGGCAGAGCAGATCCAGGGGCAGTCGCCCACCACCCAGCATGTGTCAGAAGCCCTTCTAGTAGGCTGTCGCAGGAGATAGGCGGGCGGGTCTCCAGAGAGCTTGAGGGGGAAATACTCCAAGAACCAGCTGCTGAGGGGGAATGTGAGGAGAAGGCTAGCCAAGACGGAAGCCAGAGCAGCCAGAGATCAAGACCCGTCTCACAAACCTCACAGGACAGCATCAGTACAGACCTGTGACTGAGTCCAGTTTTCCGTTAATGGAAAATCTGCTTAGAAACAAAGTGGTATGTTTCCATTCTGAAGTTACAAACTCGTACACCGTTCTTCCTTCCATGAACCTGTTGCATCCTTGCTTTTTGCTTCTGATAATACAAGTACAATGATCTGATTTTCCTTATGGCAAAGGAGCACTTAACTTCCAATCAGCAATCCTCACATGCCACGCGAGTATGCTCCAGCAACAGATACAAAAACGGGAAGGAGAGATGGAGTTTGTGAAATCTAATCTTGCCATTACATCTTTCAGACTTTATTCAGGTGTTTTCCTAAGTGTCATTTCAACTACATGACTACTTGTATCATTGTAGTTAAGGCATGGTTGTTTGTACTGTATATAAGGCATGAGTGAAAAATAATAGGTATTTTTACAAACAGGTTGCATAGTTTCATGTACATCTACGTGAAATTATTTCTGGCTGAAAGCGTGAGGCACATGATTTTGTTGATTTGCCTCCTGCAATACTTTTGTGCAAACTTAATTTTGTAACAAAATGTCTGGATGGGGACACTTTGTAAGCCCCGATTTGGACCAAGAGAGGGCGCAATTTTCCTAGCAATGGCTGCTCCTTTGGTCAGAACTGCACTGCGCTGGTTCACAACGACTATGACATGTCTGCATCACGGGTCGGTGTGGGTCGCTACCAACAGAATGAACACTTCCAACCAATGTGGCTCTTTTCAACCGATGAGGTGGTGCCTCTGCTCCAGGTGAATTTTACCACAACCCATTACTAGGGTGCGCTTCATAGCACCATTCTGCGGCTTACAAATACAGTGAGATCACTAGGAACAAGGTTACAGATGAGTGTCTTCCCCATATGAGAAGCATGACTGTGCATATATAAAGTCGGATCATACCACTGCGACTGGCATGACACCACTATCCAAACTGGTTACCTCATCAACTGAACAACACAAAAAAGACTTTACAGTGTATGTAGCTAAAACAGAAAATGTTGCATGAAGTTTATATGTACATGTTAATGTGATACAAATTGGTAGTCATAATGTGTAACTGAAGAACTTGAAGTGCAGTGTTTGCAATGTGTTGTTTTAAGTGCAAATTTCTATTAGAAACAGTGTTATGGTTTTCCTTAGTATTTTTTGTAAGTATTTACATCGTTGTGCTAAAATATGTAAACGGTGATTCAGAATGTGTACCTTGTGACAATGTAACAAACAGTCCAAGTTGTTCACATTTTGTTTGCCAGTTTAATACTGCATGCACTAAAAAGACAAGAATTTGTTGAAGATTAAAAAGCAGTGCTCCACAGTTGACTCTAGTAGAGTCCACAGAATCCTGCAAGTCCATCACAAGTCATCCAGTCTTAAGCCAGAACACAAACTGTTCAAGTAAACTGTGACAGAAAGCATTCCTTTGTCGTGGTTCATCACCCAAGCACTTATGACTGGTCTTGTGCGAGGACTTGTAAAGGGCCTTTCAGAGGACTTGCGCTGAACTTGAGTGCGACAGTGATATACAATATCTTCATGTCTTTGCCATGCTTGGATGGAAGAGGGTAGCGTTTACTATGATGGTGAGGGCAAGTACAGTTGGCCTATTAACTTCTGTGATTCATCATTAACCTATCTACTGACTTCGTTCAGGGCTGTCAACATGGAGTTGAGGAGAGCAAGAAGAGGCTATTATCCCAGGATAACAACAGAGGAATGGCCCACAATAACAGATAGTTTATTAGTTAGGGGAAATTTTTGGTTGGGAGTATTCTTAAAACCCTTTGGTTATGCTTAAGCTCATTGTTTAGGATTGGCTATGATAGAGTAAAAATTAAATGAAAGATATATTATATTATTTTTGTGCATAAATCTTGTTGCCAGTGAATTTAATCACTGGAGAAGACTGCATGTTACAAGTTAACCGCAAGTTGTGAAATGGTATTAGGGATGTATTTCGGTCATAATATTTATATCGTGGATGGGTATGTATTGCATTTTTCATAAGGGCCAAACTTTAACAGTTTGAAGAAATGACAATGAATACACAACAGGCAATCATTATTCCATGATCGGAAAATAGATCTACGAATATGTGGATATTGATTCTAGATTTTTTTACTTTTATTTTAGGCAAAAAGAAAGCTATACATTTTGCTCTCCGGACTGGTGTTAATGAATTAAGTTTCACTTAGCTTCCTTGGGCAACTACATGTATCTGTTCCACGTTTTCTCTTGAATGTTCCATAATTTTATAGCTAAAGCTTCGATTAATATTTGTTTCTACATTCAGCATTTATTTACGAACTCTGAGTAAGCGTTAGTTCGACTCAGTTTACGTCCAGCAGATTGCATGTATTTTGCTCCGCATGCACGCGCACAATGTAACATCATGATAAATAAAATGTGCATACTGAAATAGTAATATATATAATCCGCTTATCCTGTCTAACCAGCCCATGATGCATTGTACAGTACATGTAGACCGTGGGAATACTTTTTGATAGGTAATGACCTTTAGGCTACGTGTACTCCTCTCGCCGCTGTTTTGGGGACCAGAAGAAATTTTATGTCATTGCACATGATTGTTGGCAGTAAATAAACAAGACGAGTATGAGAAAGAATGTTGTGTAGTGAGGGTGTTCCGTCGCAGGTTGCTTACATTGTGAAACAATGTGCATCTTATACCCAGCAAGAAATGAGACCGAGGGGTACCCCCCCCAACATGTCCAATCCCTATACAAATTCCAGACTGTTGTTACTTAACACATCCCCCCAAGATGTCTGAAAAGAATTCCCCAGATTACTGCGAGACAATGACCAACACAAAGCAGGGGGGTTCTCTCCGTCTCATACCTTGCTGCATATGAGTCAAACTGAATGGTCTGGTACTGACAAAAGTAGGTCTAACCTGTGTACAAAGTGAATGTGTGACCCGACTTAAGTCTGATCAGATTCCACGTTTTGTGTTTGATGGCAGGAAACATTTATAAGTGATCCCTGGTGGCATTAAAGTACCGAAGCGTGACGTCACTTGAACCAGGAAGTGTAGTGCAAACGAATACAGTACGCGCGTGTTGGTTCACTTGTTGGTTCTTGGGTGAATACCTTGAACACCCGTTTCAGACAACGTTCCAGAGTGGCGCTGAGCCAAACAGGATTAAGAGCGACTCAGGTCGACTGAGTTAAATTTTGCTTACAGACAGATGAACTTAATACATAAATTTGCATTTGGTTCCGCCCATAAACGTCTGAAACCAAGTCGCGCTAGTGTCGTTCCAAGCGTCTTCAAGTACTGAGCTTTCGCCTGCTAACAGGCCTTGTACATGTACGTGGTCGCTCCTAATTGTTTCAGACGTCGAATTTTTGCCGCACTTAATTTAAAATTTTTTAATTTGGTTCGCATGACGTTTTCATCGGCACTCAGTACAAGTCATGTATAGTGCTCTTTATGAGGCAGTGCTTCAACCGTGAAAGAAGTGGGGTGAAGTCCGCCCTCTCAGTATTTTTGTCCCATATTGAGGCATTGCGTTCTTTCACCAGTGGAGCGTAATAATCGTTTTGACACGAGTCTCGTGAAAATCAAATTTACCGTTCTCGCGTAGCGCTAGGGCCTAATTTGTTCGAGACAAGTCAGCCAAAAAATGACTTTTCCACTGCCGTGCTCAATGCGCACGGGCCGGCAAGCGTAACAACGAAACCACATGTCAGATTGAGTTGAAACTTTGCATTTGTACTGATAAGGCGGAGAATTTTTGCGTGCACGCCAAAATAAAAAAAAAAAGAGGAACCTTCCAGCTCTGAGATGGTGCAAAATAACCCGGCTCTTTTAGGGTTGAAACAGTCCGGCCTCTTGCTCGCTGCTCGAAGTCACACTGAATGCGTCAAGAACAGCAGAATGCCTCACTCTCTGAAAAAGTAACTTGGAGCGAGAGTGAACGAAATTACAAAATTGTATGAAAGAAGACGTTAAAAAAATTATCGTGGCATAGCTTGCGGATGGTGCACACAGAGTTCAATCAATTATGACGTCGTTGATGGCCAAATAAAAAGTAATTGCACGTATGTAACTCTGTCATTGGTTAAATTTCGTTCACACTTCATCGGTCCACAATAATAAGTTTGACACTGTATGAAATTCTAACTAGATTTAGTTCGTACGGTACTTTTCTTCGCTGCTTGGTCTGTCGTGCGTGCAACAACTTCGCCATTTTTTGGCATGTTACTAGTGTGGTTTTGGATGTCTATTCTATGTTTTGGCTGCGGTGAGATCGGAACATACTGCTGTTTCCCCGAGCGCTACGGACATGACGGAGAACAGTTCTTCGGTGAGTTTTAGTGCGTGTATAGGACATCAAAAAAAAAAAGGAACCAAGGTTTCGGAAGACACTAAGCTTGGCAGTTGTGCCGCCTTCAATCCCAAGTTACCGTTTACTCTCGCTGTTGACTATGGCGTACTATTTACGACACGCATTTTAGGCTCTCTCTAGCCTCTTCTAAGGCGACGCAACAACACGACACGACGGCTACCTTACGTCGTGCCGTCGATCGGGTCGCACCGTCGCCTTCTTGCCGTTACGTTTGTACACACACGACGCGTTGCGTCGTGCGTCACGTCGTGCTGTCTTGCTTCCTTTCCTTGTTGCATTATTTTCACGTCGCCCCTTGCATTGCCCGTCGTGTTGCACTGGTGACCGTCGTGCGTCGCATCGCGTCGTACGTCGTCCCGGTGCATCGCGTCGCCTATTACGTCGCCTGAAGCACGACACGACACGACGCCCGGCACGACGCGTCGTGTGCTGTTACCCTTTGCTGCATGGTGTTTAGAAAGGGCGCCTTTACTGTTTTCTTTCATTTCCGTCCCCCGTGCGTGCAAAGTACATGCTATTCGCTCTTTGGTGTTGATTTTTCCTTATTTTTATCTCATCCATTCATCAATTTGAATTAGTTTCTGTCACATTTTATTGGGGAAAAAAAGGAAAAAGAGAGCAAATTATAGCTGACTAAGGCACGGACCTGGTGACCCATCCCAGGCCTCCGACAAAACTTAACCGCATTTTTGTTTTGATAAAGAAATATAGAGAATAAGAGGAAATTACGCAACCTTTGAGTTTAGGCCTAACCCTGTAAATTACTTTTCCAAGACAATAGAGGCCTAACTACATTTCGGCCGCATGCACTGTCCAAAAAATTGTCCACTCCGCCTCAGTGTCAGCAAGACATAGGCCCAAGTCAGTGTTTTTCTCTGTTAAAATGAAGTTTGTTTATACTGTATCCGTAATTCAAATTAAATGGTCCTTCGAAACAAAATTTTACAACACTTTATCAGGGCTGCCGGAATTTAAAAAAGGAACAGAACCAATCTTGGTTTATTATTTTCAACGTATGTTAACTGTTACCGTACAAAATCACTCCGAATCTCTATGAATATTTCAATAATTCCGTTTACCGTAGTAATGCTTTGAGTTAGAACAGTGCATTACGCGGGGTTTGATATGAACCGTGTTTAATTTGTTGCCGCGGACCGACCAATCAGAACTGAGAATTCAAGTTTGCCTGAAGATAATAGAGCCTGAAAGTTGACCCCTGATGGCGCACTTCCGGAACTCTTGGATAGGAAAAATAACTTGCAAAGATTTTAGAATTTGTAATATTTTTTGTTCAGTTGCTTCTTAAAAGAAAAGCATGGGTGGCATGAGCCATGCTCGCTTTGACCTATTCTGGCCCCTATTGGGTTTGCGCCGCGCTCGGGGCGCCGCGCGTAAAACCGTTGTGGCAGTTTTTTATCCACTTCGTAAGTGTGACGTCACTTTTCTTTAAACCACGCCCACTGCACACGCACTGCACATAGAGTTACATGTACAGTGTACATGCATTGATTGCCGTTTACATGGAACCTTGGAACCGGAAGTTAACGCGCAACTTCAGCGATCGTCCAATGGGAGCCTGCAAATCGCGGATGGCTGTTTTCTAAGACAATGCTTTTGATGTGACGTCATGTAACTAACAACTACACTAAGTTTGGATACGCACCTAAGCATACACTTCACACCCTCATTCGGTACGGTCACAGCGTTTCAACATCAAGTGCTATTGCAGCAGAGACAGTCATGGGATAATTTATGTGCCACACAAATATCTTTTGAGCGAAATAAAGAAGTATACAACGGAAATGAAGAGAAAAGGTTGGTACAATGGAGAACTCACGAATCTGGCTTTAATAAATACGCAGCTTTGTTAATGTTAATTACAACTAAGTAGCAACCAATGGATAACGTATAACAAAATTAAGCCAATTGATGATTAAGAAACTCACCAATACTTTATTATTAACCGAAAATGTTCCACAAACTGTGCTAATAGGGTAGTAAAGTTATAACCTATCACCTGTCGACGGCCAGGATAATGTAATTTAAAATCTCTGACAACAGTAATCACCTGTGGAAGGAGGGGCCTACTTCGTGTCCGATCAATTTGGGGAAAAATATATTATATTTATATTTCTAAGACTTGTTTGCATCATTCTGAGCACGCCTCATTAGATAATAAAATGTATCAAAGTCTCCCAACTGAGGGGGATAATATCAGTCATTGGACTTGCCTCTGTGGTGGGTCATGCTCATGAAGTTTGGAATAATTGCGTCTATGGGTTCCATGAAGTTGTAAGCCTACTGTCCATGTGCCTTTCCAAATTTTCGACTTCTTTTCCTGACTTTGAAAAGGATTATGATGTCCTGTAACGAATGAATTTGCTTGTTGGCATTTGCCTGTGTCTATAAGATGTAAATTAATCATCCCCAAGCCTAGTTCGCCATGTGCAATGCAATTGTGTGTTTAAAACCGGTGCAAGAGTGTTTTTATTAATATCAGTGAGCGCTAGAGCCAGGACGAAATTTAATACATATACGTGTATATTTGATTCTGTTGCACAAGACTGTTCACGTTGATGGCTCACCTTTTTTAAAAGTAAAAATGTTTATAGGAAGCCTCAAGACATATGTTAAATTTTATATTGCTCTGCACCTCTAAAGCCAGTACGTGGAACCATTCACCCCTTGGATTCCACAAGTTACTCCTTCCTTGATGACAAATGAATCACAAGAGGGCGCCAGAGATACACGTCCTTTGCCCGCAAGTTTTCAATCGAAACATAGGCCTACATGCAGGACATGTACATGTACATGTACACATGTACATACATGTACATGTACAGATAGATGCATACGTTGCCTACATGCTTGAGGGGTGAGCTGGCCATAGAGCACTTGTCAAGGACACAGATTGTTTTAACGTTTTTCAAAATGCAATTTTTGAGGACAGAAGAAAACACGATATCCAGCCTCCAGTTTAAGGTAAACACTAGACCGGTTTTGGATCTATTATTTTGAGGTGTGCCGTCGGAAGGCTTCCTCCATGGCCTAAGCTTCCTCATCACAAACAACCAGCAATACTATTGCTCATGAATCAGTGATGCACCAATTAGCCCTGTTAGCAGTACATTTTCATTGCTACTTTGACCTGTCATGCCTGTACATGTACTCAATTGTATAGGATCTGTTCATGTTCTTTGACCTTTCACTTCATTGCTCATCAGACGATGCTCAGCAAGAGTTGGTGGCCCATCTACCCAATGTTGTCATCGATGCTGCCAGGGGGCTGAAACATCTACCCGCCGTCCAGAAGCTCAATGGAGTTCTCATGTTCCTGGACATCTCTGGTATATGTAGGGGCCTACTGCAGCAAAACTAGACAATATTTACTCCAAGGATTTTTTTAACATTTCAAATATTTTCACCAGTAGTCAGTTTTTATGATAGACAGAAATGTTGAAATGGGGAGAAGGAAGTTGCTCTCCTTTTTTCATTTAAAAAACTTTTCAAGATGACAAACTAGGCCTATAGTATTTTGAAAAAAATATCAGACGAGCAATTTATTTTGTAGAAACTAAATTTGTGACTTCTACATTTTTGTGTAGATTTGTCTAGCCGAAATTTAAAATCCTTTCAAGGATTCAGTACTTGTAAGGTGTAATATTCGTATCTAATGATACTGTAACACACTTTCGTGAGCTAGGCCTAAATGTATCAGTTTCTCACAAAACATGCTGGAGCTAGATTTTGGGACAACTTATTTAATCTTCTTAAAGCCATATCTCCCTGTTGAAACTTACTTATACAAATGTTCGGGTATCTCCAACCCCTCATCAGGTGCAAGTGACCTTTCAGTTTTTAATAAAGAGTTTGAGACAATGCATTTTTGACATTGTTTGATTCCAGGTTTCACAGCATTGTGTGAGCAGTTCTCTCTGCAGAACCACGGAGTTGATGAACTGACTAAGACCCTCAATGATTACCTGGGCCGCATTGAGGACTTGGTGCTGAAGGCAGGAGGAGATGTCGTCGAATTTGCTGGTCAGCATTATTCCCCCCCTCCCCGTCGCATGCAATTAAGCAAATTTATTATCAAGATATGATGGAAACAGATTTTGATAAATGGTTACATGTTTGTCTGTAGTAGCACAGCACTTCTGAAGAGCGGGAATAACTGCCTAATTTTACCCCAAAAATATCTTCTAAAGTTGACCAATTGACGTACAGCATGGCACTAGTAAAGTAATATACTGCACAGCATTGTGCAATACAAAACTTGTACTTGGGTTAATACATGTAACTACTAACAAACATTATTACATAAATGCCAATGAAATCACTAAGCATTGCTTTACAGGGCTGTAGATACCATCATCATTCCAAATCTCTTTCTCCATAATGAACGCTTTGTTGGGCAAGATATACTGGCAGAATTTATGTAATAAAAACATAAATGTAGTAATTGATGAAGTATTAATATTTTATTTATAGTTTATTGATACGGTTGATATTTGAGGATAATTTGCGTGTACATGTAGCACTTAACAGGGAGAATTTGTGACTTGTGCGATAAATTGACAGTACTGTGGGTTGTAGGGTGTTACGTTGTAATTGCTGGTCTTGGTTTCTTTTCCAGTTTGAACCCATCATTGTATCACAGTGTGCCCGTTTTTAATTAATGAAATACATGGACATGCCGATTCTCTTGCCAATTTTCAGCAAGTGATTCTTTATGCTTCAGGGGATGCCATGCTTGTTCTGTGGGAGGCGCCGTCGGTCGAGTCTCGCGTGACAGCCGTAGTCAAAGCCATTGTGTGCTCCAGGAAGGTCATGAAGACATGCAACAACTGGGACACTGAAGTCGGGGTGAAGCTGGGAGTTAAGATTGGTGAGGAGAAGCCAGAGAAAGCTTTTTGTTCTTGTTGGGGCTAGTTTCAAGGAGCAGCTGTAAACTTTTCCTAAGCCCAAAGCAGCTTTTAATCAGTCATAAGAAACTCTCCATGACGTTTTGTCCGATAATGTAGTTTTGCTAAGCTGGTAAATATTATTGAGCTTGCCCAAATCCTGTGTTATCAACACTAAAAGCAGACAGACCATATGATAAAGTGATAAATCGTTAAACTTACAAACCTGAGGGATTTCTCTAAGATGCTGCTATAGCTCCATGAAAGTAGGTCTTTAATTGCCATTTGCTGGTGTGGTTGACTCCGTCTACATTACAAGACCCTGCGTTCCCTGATAGCAGATGTCTCATATTCTGAAAAAAAACCCAACATAATTCACAGTCAGTTTCTTCAGTTTTGTAATCCAATATACATACAGTACATACATCCAACATACAGCAGTGCTAAGATGTTGGTGATATTTTGCCTTTTGATGGCACAGTTGTTTTTACCCTAGAATCCACGGTGGCAGGGGCTTCTAGCAAAGCCCGTCCAAGCTGTGCCCAAATCTGGCATCAAGAGCTAGGTGTTCACTGATCGCAAATGTCGTGTGGACGTGGACATTACATGTAGCTGCAGATCTGGAAGCTTAAGAACCCATTATACTGATGAACAGTTAGGAGACTTGTCACAATGAACAGATATTGCTGTGGTTTCTCGTGCGACCGTTTACACTGAGAGCAGACAGACCGTACGATAGGGTGATAAACCATTACATTTAGAAACCTGAGTGATTTCTCAAAGATGCTGTACTGAGACTGCACATTGTTACCCATCAGATCTTATGACATTACAATCTTGCTTCTTAGTGGTGTCTTCAGTACTCCTTCAGGGTGCTTTTGCTTTAAATAATCCTTTGCTCACTTTCCTGCCTTGTGCAGAAATATTGTTCAGCATACTGCTGTCTGTCACCACTCTTCTCTGAAGATGAGCCCTGATTTTTGTTTTCCATTCACAGGTTTATCAGCAGGTGAAGTTCTCTTAACCTACGTCGGCACCAAGTCCTTTCGTCTCTTCTCTTCCAGTGGTCAGGCAATGCTTGATGTCAATGCTGCTGAGAAGTACTGCGATAAAGGAACCATCATCTTGGCCCCATCTGCCTGGGCACTCTGCCCGGAGCGCAAGGGGATCAACGTGGAGAAACTGGATGAAGGACATGTCAGGGTACATCCAGTGTTTGTGTTTTTCGTCATCCATATGCCGTTTATGTTCAAACTCAAGTGTAATGAAGCAATTGTATATTCAACCAATAGATCAAAAGTTCCATATGTGGAACTGTGATGATCACTAATACAGGCGATTCATAATGCAGTACGCCATGAAGAGGTTGTCATGGAGAGGTCTTTCTGTGGTGCATTATGGGATAAATACATGTAGTTGACAAAGTCTTATTGGCTAACTGGGCTGCGTGTGGGAAACTTCAGTTTTTGAGCAGTGTGTATGAGATGGCCGGACAGTAGCCACAAATCACAACGCATTCAGTAGTTACTGTCAGTGTGGCTGTAAACATGCTACCCACGTTTGCCACAGAATCTGCCTGCACTTCAACACAAATTATTACTCGCTACCAGTCAAATTGTATGGATTTGTTTACAGGTCCTTAACATCAGAAAGACGTGGGCAGAGTCCGAATTGACCAAAGGTAAAATGCTCAAACATCTAATCTACAAATTGACCTTCGTTCGAGGGAAGTGTTTTTGAGTGGGCCCTGGGTCTTTTTACTTGAAATCTTAGGACGCCACTGAAAAGAGACAAATCCGGCAGCCCCGTAACTGAGGTCCTTTGTTTACTACTTGGGTCAGTGCGACGTTCTCTGGGGTTAGAGTCGGAACACAAATGATTTATTAAAAACGCAAGATGCTGTGTTAACCATGGTTTACCCTGATAAGATTTAAGTGCTTAAAACCAATATTGTAATACCTGATTTTGAAATTCAGAAGTTAGTTCTCAGAATTTTTCCTGAGATCCAAGTTCAGACTCCACTCTCATTTGTTCTTATAAAGTAACAGAGTATTTCTTCAAAGAACTTACCAACAAATTACTAGATATGACCTTACACGTAATCCCTGGGTGGACCTTAATAGACATCACTTGGAAGTTGCTCAAAGCCAGCACTATTTGATGGTCACTGGAGCCTCCACCACTGATCTTTGTAAATGTGAAAGGATAAAACATAATTGATGACTGGCATACACGTACACTCAAATCCACCAGTAGAAAGAGTTGCCTCAATGAATGGAAAGTCTCTTGAAACCATGTCGTTGTCGTAGCTCCCGCTGTAGTTCTTTACAAACAACGAAATGACTGCAACAAGGTCCAGATCAACTTGCCAATTTGCCTTCACGTTTGCTTGTTTCCCCCCCCCCCCGCTCTTCACACAGAATCTACGCCTCAGGAACAGCAGAAGCCGAAGGTTTGTCACAAAGACTTTATTTTGTCATTTTGTATAAAGAGTTATTTGGATAGCTGGTTTCAACATCATTCCAAGCCACCTGCTCACCTAACAACCAGAGGGATGTAAAAACAAAGAAGAGAAATGCGGGTCCAATTCTCGATCTGGATGTAGTACGGAGTACTACCATCCAGATGGTTCATGGGCTGAACTAAATTGTGAAAAGTAATTCAACAAGGCCTGACACCTAAAACTTGAATTTCTCTTCAACTTAAAAAGAATTCCTCCAGTAAATAATAACCCCTTCTTTTTTACGGATCACTTTAAAACAATATTAACTGTGCAGATTTGCAGCAAAATTGTCTCTGAACGAATGTTTCCCCCCCATTTATTGATAACACCCGTACATTCAAAATTTGTAATGAAATGACCACCATATTTCCATTATGCAGGCAATGGATGAGTTTCCATCATTTCGAAAGGTGAACATGAAAAACGGTAAGTTATTTTTGCCACAATCTGCACACCATATGTCCAGGCAGGAACTTCACGGAGACATCGGAGGCAGTTGCCTTGATGCCCCAGGTCGTTGCCTCAATGCCCATTGAAATGTCCCCATTGACAAGTTAATTTTCTAATACATATGCCCTTTGCCAAGGAGAGATTGCGTTGCCCTTTCAAGAACCAGGTTCATGCCCTGATGTTTACTAACGGCTGTGCTTGTGTTTGGATATTGAAGCAAAACCACTCACGGCATCATGTGGCTCACTGATGCAGTTTCTGTAGGGTGTGTAAAACAGCAAGAATGATTTCAACCCGTAGAAGCATCGTGGCAAAACTTTTGTCATTGGATTGGTTGACATTCTAGACATGTTTGCAAAATTTCGATGTACATTCATGTGTTACAGATATTTTGCTGTAAAACGCATGTGTAAAAATGAAGTTTTTGTCTTCATTTTCCAACCTCATTACACGGCTGACTACTTTTGCAATCTTTTAAACTTCAAGAAATTTATCATATGTTGATAACTTCATGTACTCAGGACCAAGCCAAATGTTGAAAGTGCCAATACCATTATTCTATTACATACATCTTCAATTGGAAGCTTTACGTAAAACAGGCTAAAGTTGAAGTAAAAGCCTTTTTAGAAATGTTTAATTATATTGTGAATGTTTGTCTGCTTTTTTCAGTTCACAAACATGATTTGCGTCCCTTCATTGCCGCTCCAGTGCTGCACAAGGTACTTGCATATCTTACATTGATGTGAAATCAGGTGTCCATTACAGTTGCATATAGATCTCAGAAAAGTAGACACTGTCCCACCCTACTGTGGCATTAATTTTGAAACAGAAAATTCAACAGATACTGACATTGCTTTAATGTCAACCTCGTTAAACCCAGTTCATAAAACTTCAAAACAAGACAGAAGTTTATTTTATCACCTGCAAACATCCATGATGTGATGTTGTTATTGTGGGGCACATTCCGACCACCACTTGATGAGGCATAGTTTATTTGAACAGTCCAACTTCAGTTTATATTACTGTGCTCTTTTAAAAGTTCAAAATATCTAGACCTGTTTCCAATTTCAACAAGTTTAAACCAAAGTCAACATTCCACCAATCAGCATTGCTGTTCTGAAAATGCTTGTGTCATGATCCAACCCCAATCCTTGTTACATAAACAGCCTGTGCATATTCATTTCAGTTGGAGGAGAACCAGCCAATGGAATACCTGTGTGAGATGCGGGATGTCACTGTAGTCTTCATCAACCTGTCCCTGGACCATGGTCATGATCACAGCCGCTCACTGCAGGGGGTCTTTGACAAGATCTCAACAGCGGTCCTGCAGTTTCAAGGTGTGACAGATTTCTTCCCAATTCAATACAGCTCCAACCTTCTCCATTCATGGTATGACATTTCAACAATGTCTCTTGGAGGGAGACCTTTTTTTTCACATTTGTCACCCAATTTCTTATTTTCTTGTTTTACAGGAGTCATCAACAAGATTTTTGAATTTGACAAGGTATGTGGCGTAACCTTTGGTGACCAGTAATAAAATTTCAGATTTCAGGCACAAGTGTCATAAGATGTGTAAGCAAATTCTACTAACCACCTTGCAATTTTTAAATATGCAGGACATGTCACAATAAGTAGTGTGCTGAATACCATGTAATTTCCATAGTCTCTGGATGTCAAAAATTCCATTATTGAATAATAAAGTCGTGATATTTGAAATATTGATGACCTACATAAATAGTCATATAAATTTCAAAGTATCAAATATTTTTGATATATTTTCATATAAAGAATTTTTTAAAAATAAATTTTAAACTAAATTCATATTATTCTTTTGTTGTTACTTTCTTGTTTCATGTTGTTGATTCAATGCTGGGGAAGTACTTTTACTGCACTGTTTACCGATGTATGCAGGGTACCAGCTTCCTTGTTTTGTTCGGTTTGCCTGGGTTCAAGCATGAGGACGAGGTTGGTCACGCCCTGCAATGCTCCAGCCAGATCATAATGACACTCAACGACATGATTGAAGTCAGGTGAGCGAGATTGATGACTCAGTTCCAACTCCGAGGGGATCACAAACGCAATCAACAGAATGGTCCATGTTAAAGTATCTGATGGCATCCCACAAAATGCCTTGTTTTTTTCCCAGTATTTTTTAGTTTGCACTGGAAACAGCAAACTCAGGTCTTTGTTATCAATTGGGTACCCTGATGAACATGGAAAATGCAGGTGAATAATGCACTAAATTCTGTCCTGTTGACTTGATTGTGCAGGATTACTTGAAAGGCCTTTTATCTCAGTAGTGGTTCTGGGGATGATATATAACTGATTTTGTCTGGTTGAATTGGGTCACATGTACGAGCAAAAGCAAGTCTCTTCATCATAGCCAATTAATTTTGCTTGTCAGGCCAATGTTATATGTGCGGTTTCCTTGGTGCTTTCCTCCAATATTCGTAAAGATGCTGAACTAGTAAAACTGCACTATGCACATCATTTCCTGAAAAATTCGAAGCACTACGAGAATTCAAATTGAAACATGCAGCAATCATCCTTTTTTTCCCCTTCAGACAAGTTTCCGTGGGAGTAACAACAGGTAAAGTTTTCTGCGGGGTCGTAGGTCACCCAGAGCGACATGAATACACAGGTGAGGGAGCTTTTAGGTAATCTCAACCTGTTTTGTAGTTTAGTCAATAAGTGAAAGTGTTCAATCATTGAGGACAGCAGGCTGCTGGAAGCAATCAGTGTGAATACTTGAAGTGTAATTTGTCAGTCTAATTGGTCTTGACTGAAGTGCAGTGCTCTTGCTCAAGATCTTCCCAGTTTTTAAAGGATTACGAAGGATCCACAACTACAGCCTAGCCACCACTGGCATAGGGCTGTGAGTACATACAAAGAATGTGCCACTGATTCACTGCACAGTGTTGGATTTTGAAAGATTTAGGAGGGTCAAATAACAAAACCCTATAGCTGAGGCAAATATGTTGTTTTTTGCAACTTGGCACTTAACACATGACCAGATGACAATTATTATGCTTGCCTGTAAGGTTTGACGTGAGTACTGATGGTCATCAGCAGCCAACCAAATGGTGCACTCAAGATTTCAAGCACAAGGCCCGTTGTGTTTTTTAGTTAAATCTTGAACCCGTTTTGTACTGCGTGATATCTTGTGTGTTTCTGACATCAGTGATTGGACCCAAGGTAAACATGGCCGCCCGTTTGATGATGAATTACCCTGGCAAGCTGTCCTGCGATGAGGAGACGCGCCATCGATCCTTCCTGGGCACGGCTCACTTCCACGACCTTCCCGAGATCACACTTAAAGGAATGGACAACCCGGGACCCATCTCGGAGTACATTGAAGCGGATGTGTGAGCAATCAACTTCCACTCAACCCATCAGTTTGCATTTGTTTGCAACTTCATTGATTCTGATTGCCTGAGGATAATTATTGATGACTTCATTGTTTCACTGTAGCCTGAGATCTTTACAGGTGTCATTTCTCGGAAGCCTAGTTTGATTCGTGAGGAGGCTTTAAACTAAATGCAAGTTAAAGACTTATTGCTCTTACTGCATACCTACTGGAGGGATCTATTATATGATTTATAATGGTCCTGATGGTGCAATCCTCGTCCAGATTTTACCTTTTAGGAGAAGTGATATTAAGGTACCAGTATTTTGCTATTTATTTTCAGGGGAAAAGATCATTCTATTCCAGAGGCCAAGCATGCGATACTAGGTAGGAATTTTGTATCGAAGGCATTTAGATTCTCTTATTATACCCTGCGAGTATGCTAAATCATTCCAAATCTGTTTGGGCATTGTTTACAGCTCAGACAGGAGTATTATTGTTCTTCATATAATTACGACCCGTGATGTCTGTTTCATTAGCTTACTGCACCACATAGAGCTTTGAAGATTCCTAGAAGCTAATTACCTGCCCATAAGCAAAGTGCATTCAGGCGTGAAAACCCCAATTTGTTAGACTCTAGGGCTACATGAAGTAGCTTCAGTTCTGAAGTTGTCGTGGTCTTTGTATTGCAAACGTTAGGGTACGTGGCCGAGTTTCTGGAAGCCCTGAATACCTTGGACAAGGTGTGCGTGTCCAGTGACTACAGGCATCCGTTGTTCCTAGTAGTCAAGGGTGAGCCTGGGGTGGGGAAGACACGATTCCTGAGATCTGTCATTGACGCCGCTGTCAAGAACGACATGAGGTCAGTTTGTCTTTGGTGCATAAGCTCAAACTCATTTCTGCAAAATTCTGAGGCCAACAACGTCTTTATACTCTGCATATTAAAAGTCGCTGTGAAGCAACCTATCTGGGAACAAGTCATCTTAGTTTGGAGGGAAGCTTGCTGTTAACATTTTGGTACGTAACATTAAAGTTTAAAAAAATTTTTAATTTCCATGTCTGGCTAACAATCGACAGGTGCTGGTTATTGTACAAATAATAAATGCTTAAGAGTGCAATGGTACGACTGATTTCATGGGGTGAGAGACAGAATGCTCTATTCCGAGAGACAAAACAAAACATCTGCTCTTGAGCCAGAAGGTTGTTAACAATTGGGGTTTGAAGTAAATAGAAGTGGGGACTCCGATGACATGTGAAAGGTTCTGCATATCTAAGTAAGTTGCAACAGATGATACTAGTGAACAAACATTACACCCAAAACTGCCGCCTGTATTTGAAGTTGAGGTTACGACTCAAACAGGCTGTGAAACTGTTCTTCACCCAGTACTATCCAGAGTCCAGTTCTCGTGTCAGTATTTCTTTGAATTTGCATCACCTGGATGACTTGAAATCTTCTCCAATCCCTCCCGCTGTGCCTCTAGGATCCTGTGTCATAGGCCATCCATCAGCAGCGCCGGCAACCCGTACACCACGGCCTGCTACGTGATCGCTGAATTGCTGGAGCTGGGGGGTATCTCTAGCCCACAGGAGAGGGAGCAAGTGCTGGAGGACCGCTTTGAAGGAACGGAGCTGTTCAATAGCCTGAGTCTGCTGAATAACCTGCTGGGAATCCAGGTGGGTTCAATTCAGGGCAGTGATCAACCCTAAACAATCCGGAAAAGATGATTTCATCTTTGTATGCTCTTACATTTTGCCTCTTTACTAATACCGATGACTAATTACTTTCTCCAACCTGTTGCTTCGTAAAATTATGCAGTCCTTTAAATTAATGAATAAGGAACATTTGGGACATACGTGTACATGTATTAGGCTAACTCTATTCGTACTAATTAAGACGTCCTTAGCTGTGACTTAGCTGTGTGAAATGCAGTTTAATGAACTTTGTTGCACCGTACTGCCTGAAACTGCCCAAGCGCTGTGTGGTTTTCTTGATTTGACCGTCAATCAATAAAATGTAATACACTTGCAGGGAGAGATTTGTTCAAATGATGAATGACTCATTTCATTTCACTTTCCTCTCCTTGGTTTGCCAGCTGACTGCTCATGAGTCAGTCTTTAACCTCTCCCCGGCCGAGCGCACCAGGGCTCTCCAACGTCTCCTAGGCCGCATTGTCCAAGGCACCCAGCTGGACAGCTACTCGGGCACCCTGATAGCCATCGACGACGCCCAGTACGTTGACCGGGACTCCTGGGGCTACCTGCGCTACTTTGCCGGCTACTCCTGCCTCTTTGTGCTGGGCATGGGAGCGCTGAGGAGGAGTGAGGGGGCGTTGGAGGGACCGCTCGTTCCGGAAGGGATGGACAAGGTCTTGAACAGTCCATTGTGCGTCCACGTCAAGCTGGAAGGTTTGGAGCCAGTCAACATGGAAGCACTGCTATGTCAGTTTCTGGAGGTGGCTAGTGTACCCAGGGAACTGACCAAGTAAGTTCTTGTCTTGGAAACTTTACTTGCAACCTGATGTCTCATTCTTTTAAGAACGCTCGAGATTTTACCCACTAAGAAGGCCATTTCAAAATGTTTGATTTTTTCAGATTATTTTCATGGACAATCAATATATTTTTTGGTCTGTTTTCGAGATTTTCCCCTGATTTTTCTTCATTATTTTCAAAAGTTTTTGGAACTGCTATATAGAATATCAGC